CAAGAGAATTTTAGAGTCTTGCCTGCTCCCTTCTGCTGAAAGGATGCAAATCGACCCCACCACGTTCATTTTTATGCATGATAATGTTCCCTGTAACAAATAAAAACTGATGAAGGAATACTTTGATGAGAAGCAGGTGAGTGTTATGACATGGCCATTCCAATCTCCTGACCTCAACCCCATAGAAAACTTATGGAGCATTATAAAGTACAGGATCTCTAGAAATTACTTTACAAACAAAGAGGATTTGATTTTCTAATTACATATCCGAATGCTTGGAGATGAGATTTGCTAGAACCTAATCAAGTCAATGCGAAAAAGGGTTGAAAAGTTTATTCAAAATAAAGAAGGACCCATAGATTATTTAATATTTCGAACTATATTACCTATTATAAATAAATTATACATCTATTATTCTTTATTTAAAGCTGTTCGGTTATGTTTCTATTGATTACTAGTTGCAGGAAATAAGTGAGTCACTTTTTTGGCACAGAGTTTTTACCTAAATCTCATTTCTATAAAAAAATTATAATTATCAATAGAATACCTTAGGGTGAGCAAACTTTTTTACTAGGTGATCGGGAAAGAGTCTTTATATTAGTGAGATTAAAAATTAGTTTGACCCCGAAAACAATAGTTGTTTTAAGTAAAAAAATCAGGTGAGTCACTTTTATCGAACAGCACTGTAGGAGATATATGAAATTGATAAATAAAATGTCAAGTCACATTGTACCATGTAATCCAGAACTACCGACCGGGTGGTTGGGTACCTCGGCGTGGTGTAATGGTTAGCAAACTGGACTTGCTAGATCAGTTACTACTGAAAAGTGAGTTCGATCCTCACTGGATGCCCCATACTTTCGGCCTTTGTCACTTCTAAATATCTTCGGGGCACTTCGAGGTGGTGTAATGGTTAGCAAGCTTGTCTCGCTAGAACAATTACGACTGAGTTGTGAGTTCGATCCTCACTGGGTTCCCCATACTTGTGCCACACCTGAGCTACGCTTGGAAAATCACTACCTACCGCGTGGTTGGGTAATCTTAGGCTAAACCGGTCTATCCCAAAAGTTTGCATGAAATCCAGCATCAATAACGACTCAGATATTCGAAGCTGCATTTATATACCGTGGTATCTTCTGCCTATATATTTACAGCTGGTCTTTGGCAGATCATACTTATTATAAAACCCAGGCTGTGTGTATGTGTCTGTTCGTTTATGTATTGGATCGGATTTCATATATTTTTCAGCCGATTTCAACAAAACTTCACAGGACTTCGTAAAATTCCCTTGCGGTGGTTCTGGCAGCGCCAAAAATTGGAAAAACACAATTGTTTTTGCACGAAATCAATTTGAAAACACAAAAGAGGCATCGCTGTCGCGAGAATGAAAGGGGGGGACAACTCATACCGAGTTATACTTATTATAAAACCCAGGTTGTGTGTGTGTGTGTGTGTGTGTGTGTTCGTTTATATATGGGATCAGATTTCCTACATTTTTCAACCGATTTCAACAAAACTTCACTTGTTTTTGGCAGGTAGTGTTTCTTATTGTCTTGCACACTTTTTTCTTTATTTTTACATTCATAATGTTTTAAAAATTCCATTTACAAGACAATTGTTTATAATAAAATTTTATTCAATCGGCTGACTCATAACGATTAAAAACAATGTTTTTGTTTGAGTTTGGGTTTGACCAATTCGTAAAAAAAAAAAAAAAAAAAATTAAGACATGCGTGTCCGTCAACCTTAAACAATAATCTTTGTCAATTTTATTTTTCAGTCTTTATGATGGTCGATACTTGATCTATCTGTTACTATTACATCCCCGGGCAACGCCGGGCTCTACTGCTAGTCGTTAATGTAAGGAGAATGTATAAACAGAATGAGTGTAGGACAAGGAAGAGAGACTCCTGGGGATGCAAACATTGATTTCATGGACCTCAGATGACTGGCCAATAGCAACGAGCTTCATCGACATAACTGTTAGGAAGGAGTTGATAACTGGAAAGACGCTCTCTTACATTCCATAGCTGGCGTGTTTTGTCAACAGCTTTCGAGATATCTAACGCAATCACCCTTAAGACGTGTTTACTACCAAGCGCTTCACAGATCATATGCGTTATGAACCGTAAACCTAACCATGACACCAGCAATGGAGTGAAAACCATACTGCATGTTGCCCAGTTTCTGTTGAAATCGTCAAAACGTTCTTGTTAATTATTGCTTAAGATAGTTTCGCATTGTCTCTAAAGAGGCTAATGAGGTTATATTGTGATGGGGAGAACGTTTCACAAGCTTTCCTGTACACAGATATACACTAGACATTTACCATACTCTTGGGAAACACATCTTGGATTTACAATGATTGAAGACAGTTCCAGAACAAGGTTCTTGAGAAGAAATTACTGAAATTTTTCCACATCATTAACATTCGTAGAGTCAAGATAGAGACATCACAAAGTATGTACATTGTGACGTGGAGCTAATTACATATGAAATGGCCATTGTTGTCTAACGAGAAGTTAAATTGAGGAGCAGATTGAATTGCAGAGATTGGACATATCTGACGAGAATGAAATGACAGTAGAGACAATTAGAATGGGAGAAACTGACGCTATGCTTCAATTGATAACAATTTTCAATAAAAAGACCCTAGTTTTTATTTTCTATTTTTACTATGAAAATACACTGGAAATGATATTGATGTGAAAATGTATTAGAAATGATTTTACTATCAAAAGCATTAAGCAATGGTTTTTACTATGAAAATGCATAGGAAATAATTTTTACTATGAAAGTATATTTGAAATGGTTTTTACTTTGAAAATGAATAGTAAATGAATTTTACAATGACAATGCATTTGAAATGATATCTACTATGAAAATGAACTAGGAATTTTTTTCTATGAAATTGCATTGGCCAATGAAATTTACTATGAAAATGCATTGGGAATGATTTTTACTATGAAAATGCATTAGAAATGATTTTTACTATGGAAATGCATGGGAAATGATTTTTATTATTAAAATGTATTGGAAATGATTTTTATTATAAAAATGCATTGGCCAATGATTTTTGCTAGGAAAATACATTGGAAATGATTTTTACTATGAAAATGCATTGGAAATGATTTTTATTATGAAAATGCATTGGAAATGATTTTTATTATGAAAATGCATTGGCCAATGATTTTTACTATGAAAATTCATTGGAAGTGATTTTTGCTATGAAAATGAATTGGAAATGATTTTTACTATGAAAATGCATTGAAAATGATTTTTACTATGAAAATGCATTGACCAATGATTTTACTATGAAAATGCATTGGAAATGATTTTTACTATGAAAATGCATTGGAAATGATTTTTACTATGAAAATGCATTGGAAATGATTTTTACTATGAAAATGCACTGGAAATGATTTTTACTATGAAAATGCATTGGAAATAAACCTATAATTTTGCAACAAATTAAATTGCATATATTTAGCCCCATCCGTCTCTTCGGTCTTCTAGTTGATCCAGATTTGTTGCTTTTTTATAAAGTATACGAAGGTGTGATAAAAAAAGATCTTAACATAACCCACTTACCAAAATCAGTATAATAATGTTTGGTCTTTGAAATACTGAATTTGAGATATCGGTCGGAGCGAGAAATTTTCAACAGTCCTTCCTAATTAGAAGAGAATTGTGTAATTTCAATTAATTAGTTTCAATTAACAAATGAATTAATAAGATATTCGTAATGGAGAAGAAGCTCTTTCATAATTCATGAAGCACAAAAGATTGAGCGCCAATTTCTAGCCAATTAAAACGTGGCTAGTCCACTGGGGCAGTCCATCGAAAATAGATTTGATCATAATGGTTTCTTAAAGCAATAATGCACTTAGCAATTTAAAAAAAAGTCAAACTGAAATACAGTCACACACAGACACACACACACAAACACACAGACACACACACACACACATATATATATATATATATATATATATATATATATATAGAGAGAGAGAGAGAGAGAGTGAAACAAAGATAGATAGATAGATAGATAGATAGATAGATAGATAGATAGATAGATATGGGACAGTGAGATATTAACAAATTGCGATAGATAGATATATAGATAGACAGATACATGCATACATACATACATATGAACAGTCTGAGATAGGCCTACACATATGAACAGAGATAGATAGATAGATAGATAGATACATACATACATACATACATATGAACAGTCTGAGATAGGCCTAAACATATGAACAGAGATAGATAGATAGATAGATAGATAGATACATACATACATACATATGAACAGTCTGAGATAGGCCTACACATATGAACAGAGATAGATAGATAGATAGATAGATAGATAGATACATACATACATACATATGAACAGTCTGAGATAGGCCTACACATATGAACAGAGATAGATAGATAGATAGATAGATAGATACATACATACATACATATGAACAGTCTGAGATAGGCCTAAACATATGAACAGAGATAGATAGATAGATAGATAGATAGATACATACATACATACATATGAACAGTCTGAGATAGGCCTACACATATGAACAGAGATAGATAGATAGATAGATAGATACATACATACATACATACATATGAACAGTCTGAGATAGGCCTACACATATGAACAGAGATAGATAGATAGATAGATAGATAGATAGATACATACATACATACATATGAACAGTCTGAGATAGGCCTAAACATATGAACAGAGATAGATAGATAGATAGATAGATAGATAGATAGATAGATAGATACATACATACATACATATGAACAGTCTGAGATAGGCCTACACATATGAACAGAGATAGATAGATAGATAGATAGATACATACATACATACATACATATGAACAGTCTGAGATAGGCCTAAACATATGAACAGAGATAGATAGATAGATAGATAGATAGATACATACATACATACATATGAACAGTCTGAGATAGGCCTACACATATGAACAGAGATAGATAGATAGATAGATAGATACATACATACATACATACATATGAACAGTCTGAGATAGGCCTACACATATGAACAGAGATAGATAGATAGATAGATAGATAGATACATACATACATACATATGAACAGTCTGAGATAGGCCTAAACATATGAACAGAGATAGATAGATAGATAGATAGATAGATAGATAGATAGATAGATAGATAGATAGATACATACATACATACATATGAACAGTCTGAGATAGGCCTAAACATATGAACAGAGATAGATAGATAGATAGATAGATAGATAGATACATACATACATACATACATACATATGAACAGTCTGAGATAGGCCTACACATATGAACAGAGATAGATAGATACATACATACATACATACATACATATGAACAGTCTGAGATAGGCCTAAACATATGAACAGAGATAGATAGATAGATAGATAGATAGATAGATAATGAGAGACTGAGAGAGCTAGATCAATACATATGATCAAATTGAGATAGACTTATCCTATTTTCCCTGATATTCCATTTGTGAGCAGTAAGTTTCACTCAAGTAGTTCCTTCTCTGAAACCCTTGCATGTGGAATAGATTCCAAGAGGATGCATCCCTTATCACTACAAAACTTAACCAAGCTTCTTGATTCTGCTTATCAGTGAAATACAGAGGCCGCTCTTATTTTTATGTAGGATGGGCGGGTCTTACTAACATCATTTTTATTTTAATCTGAAGGTTTTCTTATATTTATTTCTTTTTGGGGTTTATCCTTTCCCAATTCATCTCATGAGATACATTTTTTTTATATATTTTTGTAGGAAAATCCTGAAATAAAAAAAACCACAATTTTATATATTGAATTTTTTTCCATGTATATAAGTTTTTATGTTTTAGTAGGTTCTCTGTGAATATGATTCTTTTTTATGTTTTAGTAGGTTCTCTGTGAATATGGTTCTTTGGTAAATGATGGATTGGGTGTAAAAGATGGTGAATGAATAAATTGTAAGAACCAGATTAACTAAATTTAGGACAGTCAATGACGACCAGCCATTTCACTCACCCGCTACAGCCATATGCCGCAAACATCTATTTTTTTTAACCTGTTCAAGTTTAGGTTCCATATAAATGCTCTCTCCATCTACATCTTTACAACATCACCATTTAGTACACATCTAGCTTGAGTGGCTTTTGGGCCTTCTATTAGCAAAACACTAGTAAAAAAAAATGTTTCCAAAATGTATGTTATAGTATTGCTGTATTTTCCAGGGAAACAAATAGAAAACATTAATTAAGTAGCACACCGCGTATTACTTAGATTGGGGGAATCAAATTTCAACAAACAAATGTGTCATTATCTGCTGAGGGAGATGCGTCCCGGATCTTCGCCAGGTTTAAACAATGGGGAGGGTATAAACTCCAGTTGTGGGGGCATCAACGCCAGAGTGGGGGTCACTGGTAGCGACATCCTATTTTAACTGCAAATATCCCTCCGTTCGTTGGTTAGCACGACCGTACGTCCTGTCATAAATAATGGACTATTCCGCGTTTTGATCGCGTTGATGGAGGGGAAAGCATATTACTTGGTCTCAGTGAGAAAATGAAAGAAAGAAGAACGAGAAACAGATGTGGAGAGTGAGAATCAGATTAAGCTCATAAGAGCAGATACTACAGTTTGATCTCTGCCAAAAGTTCTAGAATTGATGGTGACCGCGATAAAGGTGCCATTTATGATATATCGAGAATTTGGCAGAATGAAAGAAGGAGGAATAGTAGGGTTTAACGTCTCCGACTAATACCTCATGAATAATTGACAATTATATTTTGTTTTGTTTACTTATATTATTTAAATTATTCGCTCTGTTATCCTCGTCTTCACTGCCATATTCACAACGTTTTGGCCATTGTGCGCTCCGGCCTTCTTGAGATAACTGGAATTTTGAACCGAACCCTTTATGTCGTCCACCGGGTTTGATTGTTCTCGCTCCACATGCCATGCCTCTTCCGGATGTAGCAGTTATTTCCCTTTTAACACAACTTCTCAAATAACTGAGATATTCGGAAGGAGCATATATCTGTAGTCATTACCTAATTTTTATCTCGCAAAATGTTCATGCTCTGGAAATTATTGTCTTGTGCCAAACTAGCCACATAACAATAGACAATTAAGAAATGACTGGGATAGATAGATAGATAGATAGATAGATAGATAGATAGATAGATAGATAGATAGATAGATGTGAACAGACTGGGTATGATATGTACAAATTGAGATAGATAGATAGATGAAAGAATGAAAGAAAGTTCGAAAATTGATGGTGACCTCGATAAATCTGCCATTCATCAGATGCCGAGGATTTGGCTAGAAAGAAGGGAAAATATTAGTCCAATAAATAATGGACAATTTCACTTTGTTTTGTTTACTTACATTATTTACATTATTCGTACTATTACCCTCATTTTCATTGCAAATTCACAACGTCTCGGCCATTGTATGCTCCGGCCTTGTTCAAGCGATTGTAATTTCGAACCGAACCTTTTATTTCGTCCACTGGGGTAGATCGTTCTAGTTCCACATGCCATGCCTCTTCCGAGTGTAGCAGTTATTTCCCTTTTAACTCAACTCCCCAAATAACTGAGACATCCGGAATAGAGATCAGAATAATGAAAATAATATAAAGTAAACATAATACCTCATCTCAGAGATGTACATGGATATTGCGTTTTGTTTTGCGTAGAAAAACAACGTACTTGGTTTTAGTGGGAAAGAAAGAAAGAAAGAAAGAAAGAAAGAAAGAAAGAAGAAAACAGAAAGAAAGAAAGAATGAAAGAAAGAAAGAAAGAACGAAAGAAAAAAGAAAGAAAGGAAGAATGGAAGAAAGAACTAAAGAAAGAAAGAAAGAAAGAAAGAAAGAAAGAAAAGAAAGAAAGAATGGCAGCAAGAACTAAAGAAAGAAAGAAAGAAAGAAAGAAAGAAAGAAAGAAAGAAAGAAAGAAGAAGAAAGAAAGAAAGAAAGAAAGAAAGGAAGGAAGAAAGAAAGAAAAAAAGAAAAAAGAAAGAAAGAATGGAAGAAATTCAGTTTAATTTAAAGTATCCCTTTCGTCATTACATGATACTTATCTCTTAAAGTAGTCATGCTCTGGAAATTATCGCCTTGTGCCAAACTAGTCACATACCAATAAACGATTAAGAAATGAGATGGATAGACAGTTAGATAGATGTGAACAGACAGACATGAACAGGGTTAGATGGTCAGAAAGATAAATAGACAGAGAGATAGATATGAAGTTAGAGATATGAAGATAGATAGATAGATATGAAGTTAGATAGATAGATAAATGATGAAAGACTGAGATAACTAGCTAGATACATATGAACAAATTGAGATAGATAGATACTGAAAAGACTATATATATATATATATATATATATATATATATATATATATATATATATATATATATATATATATATATATATATATTTTAAATAAATTTTCTGAAAGTTCGGATTATTTTTCAAACTCGGCCGATGTTTCGATCTGCGTGTAAAGACGTTCTCCTCCCACCATATTAATTGAATTGTTTACAAATACGTTTGTAGTTGCGGAGCCAACTACATAGGGAGAACAACTCTGCGCTTAGACACTAGAATAAAGCAACACGTTCCTACTAAAATTAGAAACCACACCTTGCCTTCGAGTGGACTCGTCCCGAACACCTACTGTGCCGCCAAATTTAGTGTCGACTGGTTCACCGTGTTGGCCCGGTCACACTGTATTTCATCTGAAGGTTCTGGAGGCACTTTACATCGGGTCCCGCAAGCCTTCTTTGTGCAAACGACGTGAGTGTTTGCTGGGACTCGCTGTCATCTGCCTCTAGTTCCTTCTTGCATATATACGAACATATATATATATATATATGTGTGTGTATTTTTTTTCCACCTATTCTTATTGTACATTTCTCTGTTTTAATATTGAATCTCCCGTGGAAGCCTGACGAGCGGGAGCGAAACCGGCTGCTTCCCACCCCCACTTGTTTTTTTTTTTTTTTTTTTGTTATTTAATACTGTTTTAATATGTCTTGTAATATTAAATTTTATATTTTTATTTCGATCATTAAATTTTGTACCTACGAAAATATCTTTAAATATATATATATATATATATATATATATATATATATATATATATATATATATATAAAGAATAATCACACATAGAATTAATCAGAAGTATCAATGCGATTATTGGCGACATCCATCGCTAGGAAACATAATATATGCATTAAAATCCTGTTCATCCATAGTGCGAGTTTTGATCCTTGAAGAAAAAACTTGTTGTCTGTAGTTTTTCAGTTTATTTGATGTTAAAATGTTAGTACTTACGGACAGTCTTCCATCCATCATCAGGCATGTGTTTTTTTTTTCCTTATAAAATCAAAAAACTTGAGACGATATACCTGTATGTCGACCGAAAGATGTTTTTGAATATCTGCTATTATTGACGGTTGTAAAGATCTCGGAACGTGCAAAGACGCAACGCTAAGTTTTTCAAAATTTTTAAGTGAGAATTTTATTTAAATATTTCTTGTGATGTGTTAAATCCACGTATTCTATTTTTACAAGTGTATTCAGTTTTTTGTGTGTATGTGTATATATATATATATATATATATATATATATACACACACACACATATATATATATATATAAGGACATTTTTATGTTTATACATTCTTTTTATAGATACAAATATTTAAGTAAATATTCTGTTTATAATAAACAGTATTAAACAACATTTACGATGCTGTATTCAATTTCGTTTTCTGCTATAAGAGTATGATCCCGAAATGCGACTTGAAAGTCGGGAACACCAGACTGAAGTAGACGCGGAAGTTTAAATATCTGGGAAGCGTTTTGACAGAGGACGATAAGTGCGACACTGAGATCCGTAGACGTACTAGGATGGCCAAGGACGCATTCCAAAAGCTGGGCAGAGTATTGCGAGACAGAAGGATCTACTTAGTAACGAAGAAAAGAATACTGAACTGTTACGTAACATCTGTTCTTCTTTACGGCAGCGAATGTTGGACAATTTCCTCAAAGATGAAGAAAAGACAAGAGGCGACGGAGATGTGGTTCTACAGAAGGATACTAAGGATATCATGGACCGAGCGTGTGAGCAACAAGGAGATCTAAGTGAGGATTCAAACAAGGAGAAGGCATTTACTTAACATGGTATCCTTAGCAATACCTCCGTTGACTTCTTCTTCATCTTTGAGGAGACCGTCCAACATTCTCGGCCGTAAAAGAGGACCGATGCCACGTAGCAGTTCAGTATTCTTTTTTTAACTTTGTTGCCAACGTAATCCTCTTGTCTCTTAATAATCTGCTTAGCTTTTACGATGGCGCATCTGGCCATCCGAATACATCTTTGAATCTCGCACTTACTTAACTCTGCCAGAAAACTTTTATTTATTTAAATTTCCGCACCTGTTTGAGTTTAGTGTCCCCGACCTGTAAATCGCATTTCGGGTTCATGTTTTTCCTGATGACCATATATTCTATGGAATCGTCTTATCACCGGACTTATTCAAGCTATACAGCGAGGCCATTCCAAGAGGCCTGGAAATCCTACCAGTATTTATTATTGACGGCCACAATCTTAACAACATAAAATACGCAGATGACACAGTAATGATAGCAGACAAGGACAGGAAATTACAAAACCTCCAACGAAGGAGAGCGATAAAAGGGGTCAGCTGTACATTCAGGTATACGGGTATGATGCGACACCCTTAAAATAAACTTCAAAGTTAGGTCTTCAAATGTCACATGAGATCCGAATACATACGGCATATCAACTCAACCAGCATCTTCTTAATGCTAAGGATTATTATACATAGTTTCTACAGAAGGATACTAAGGATATCATGGACCGAGCGTGTGAACAACGATGAGGTCTTAGACAGGTTGCTAACAAAGAGGAGGCTTATACTTAACATCAGGAAGAGGCATCTAAAGTTTCTTGGAAATACAGGGTGTTTCAAAAAATTTGATATCATTTCGCAATCTAATAACTTTATTAGATCTCCTTCAAATGACTTCAAATTTTAATAGCATCTTTATGTTTAATGTTTGTTTTATGTTTTTATGTCTTTATGTTTTTGTGTTTTTCTTATTTGTATTTTTACGTTCTTTAAACTTTAATCTTTTTCTTTACAGGTATAAAAGTGCCGTGTCTCAGGCGGTGCGCATATTGAACATTTGTGAAATCGTTCACATAATCCACATGCTTTTGAATTTCTCATTCAGATTTGGGAGAATAAATCTTATGATATTCAACATTAATACTTTTTAATTTCATTTGCCTTAATCATGTACTTTCTGTGATATTTACATCTCAAAGGATATCACATTTTTGAAATACCCTGTATAATGAGGAAGGAGTGCCTGGAGAATCTGATACTCACAAGTCGAATAGAGGGAAAAAGAAACAAGAGAAAACAACGCGTGACTTCCCTGGCGGACGTAAGGAAGTTGAAGACAGAACGTGGTCTGGGGGAGGAAGCAGATGGAATGGATAGAGAGAGGTGGAGAGCCATTATCGCCTACGTCCTTAAAGAAGCACAAAAAAGAAAGAAATTTGTTATAGCTGATCCACACGCTGGGGTAACTGAAGTGTGTTTTTTTTTTATTTACTAATTTCATATCCTAATATTTTATAATGGTTTCATGGTATGTGCCATCACTGCAATTACAATTCCAGATCATATTTTCTGTTTTGCCAGTGTTTATCTTACGTCATGTTTATTGGGACATCTGGCAATGGCTGAAGATTATAAAGAAGTACATTTAGCGCCAAGTAATAGACATAAATTTAAAACAAAAATCAGCTTAGTAAACTTGCTATTTATGGTCTTGTTTGGTTTGGCTTCTTTTACGTCATATCAGCCTCTATGGGTTAATCAATGCCAGCAAGATTTTTATTGCTGGTGATATTCTTTTTTCAAAATGTCTGGCTGGTAATATTTTTTTCTTCAAAAATTCATTGCCGGTAATAACCTTTTTACAAAAATGCATTTCGTGTATTAAAACCTATTTTTTACACTTTCATAGTGTTTCGACACCAGTTCGTGGGTGGGCAACTATTTACCCATGACTGGGACCATAATAGATGCTACCAACCCAGGTCAGGGTGGACCTGGGAACAACAGCAATTAAGATCAAAAGCCTGATCAAAGGCCTTGCTGCTGGACGTAGTTTATCGTATTACCTGGGACGCGGATGTAGTTTATCGTCATACCCAGGTCGCGGATGCTGTCTGAGTTTCGGCGTTAACTATTTGCCTATAGCTGGGACCCTAACAGGTGCTACCACCCCGGGTTAGGGTGGACCTAGGAACACCAGAAATTAAGAGGTGGTTCCAAGTGCCTCAGAACCTACTGATCAGAGGCCTTGATGTTGTATGTAGTTTATCGTCTTACCCTGGATGCAGACGTAGTTTATAACCAGGACGGTTTTTCATCTTATTTCTCTTGCTTTTCCACCAAGTAGTAATAGTCTTAAGTTGTCTGAATTTCTTAGATGAAGCCTTGTCAATTATTATTCATTTTTCACTAGTATTTCTTTTCATCTTATTTCTCTTGCTTTTCCACCAAGTAGTAATAGTCTTGTTGTCTGAATTTCTTAGATGAAGCCTTGGCAATTATTATTCATTTTTGACTAGTATTTCTTTCATCTTATTTCTCTTGCTTTTCCACCAAGTAGTAATAGTCTTTAGGTTGTCTGAATTTCTTAGATGAAGCCTTGCCAATTATTATTCATTTTTTCACTAGTATTTCTTTCATCTTATTTCTCTTGCTTTTCCACCAAGTAGTAATAGTCTTAAGTTGTCTGAATTTCTTAGATGAAGCCTTGGCAATTATTATTCATTTTTGACTAGTATTTCTTTCATCTTATTTCTCTTGCTTTTCCACCAAGTAGTAATAGTCTTAAGTTGTCTGAATTTCTTAGATGAAGCCTTGCCAATTATTATTCATTTTTGACTAGTATTTCTTTCATCTTATTTCTCTTGCTTTTCCACCAAGTAGTAATAGTCTTAGGTTGTCTGAATTTCTTAGATGAAGCCTTGCCAATTATTATTCATTTTTGACTAGTATTTCTTTCATCTTATTTCTCTTGCTTTTCCACCAAGTAGTAATAGTCTTAAGTTGTCTGAATTTCTTAGATGAAGCCTTGGCAATTATTATTCATTTTTGACTAGTATTTCTTTCATTTTATTTCTCTTGCTTTTCCACCAAGTAGTAATAGTCTTAGGTTGTCTGAATTTCTTAGATGAAGCCTTGCCAATTATTATTCATTTTTCACTAGTATTTCTTTCATCTTATTTCTCTTGCTTTTCCACCAAGTAGTAATAGTCTTAAGTTGTCTGAATTTCTTAGATGAAGCCTTGGCAATTATTATTCATTTTTCACTAGTATTTCTTTCATCTTATTTCTCTTGCTTTTCCACCAAGTAGTAATAGTCTTAGGTTGTCTGAATTTCTTAGATGAAGCCTTGTCAATTCTTATTCATTTTCACTAGTATTTCTTTCATCTTATTTCTCTTGCTTTTCCACCAAGTAGTAATAGTCTTAGGTTGTCTGAATTTCTTAGATGAAGCCTTGCCAATTATTATTCATTTTTTGACTAGTATTTCTTTCATCTTATTTCTCTTGCTTTTCCACCAAGTAGTAATAGTCTTAAGTTGTCTGAATTTCTTAGATGAAGCCTTGCCAATTATTATTCATTTTTTTCGTAGTATTTCTTTCATCTTATTTCTCTTGCTTTTCCACCAAGTAGTAATAGTCTTAGGTTGTCTGAATTTCTTAGATGAAGCCTTGCCAATTATTATTCATTTTTGACTAGTATTTCTTTCATCTTATTTCTCTTGCTTTTCCACCAAGTAGTAATAGTCTTAAGTTGTCTGAATTTCTTAGATGAAGCCTTGGCAATTATTATTCATTTTTCACTAGTATTTCTTTCATCTTATTTCTCTTTTTTCCACCAAGTAGTAATAGTCTTAAGTTGTCTGAATTTCTTAGATGAAGCCTTAATTATTATTCATTTTTGACTAGTATTTCTTTCATCTTATTTCTCTTGCTTTTCCCACCAAGTAGTAATAGTCTTAGTTGTCTGAATTTCTTAGATGAAGCCTTGCCAATTATTATTCATTTTTTGACTAGTATTTCTTTCATCTTATTTCTCTTGCTTTTCCACCAAGTAGTAATAGTCTTAAGTTGTCTGAATTTCTTAGATGAAGCCTTGCCAATTATTATTCATTTTTGACTAGTATTTCTTTTCATCTTATTTCTCTTGCTTTTCCACCAAGTAGTAATAGTCTTAAGTTATCTGAATTTCTTAGATGAAGCCTTGGCAATTATTATTTATTTTTTAACTAGTATTTTCTTTCATCTTATTTCTCTTGCTTTTCACCAAGTAGTAATAGTCTTAGGTTGTCTGAATTTCTTAGATGAAGCCTTGGCAATTATTATTTATTTTTGACTAGTATTTCTTTCATCTTATTTCTCTTGCTTTTCCACCAAGTAGTAATAGTCTTAGGTTGTCTGAATTTCTTAGATGAAGCCTTGGCAATTATTATTCATTTTTGACTAGTATTTCTTTCATCTTATTTCTCTTGCTTTTCCACCAAGTAGTAATAGTCTTAAGTTGTCTGAATTTCTTAGATGAAGCCTTGCCAATTATTATTCATTTTGAATTTCTTTCATCTTATTTCTCTTTCTTTTCCACCAAGTAGTAATAGTCTTAATTGTCTGAATTTCTTAGATGAAGCCTTGCCAATTATTATTCATTTTGACTAGTATTTCTTTCATCTTATTTCTCTTGCTTTTCCACCAAGTAGTAATAGTCTTAAGTTGTCTGAATTTCTTAGATGATTTGCCAATTATTATTCATTTTTTATTTCTTTCATTTATTTCTCTTGCTTTTCCACCAAGTAGTAATAGTCTTAGGTTGTCTGAATTTCTTAGATGAAGCCTTGCAATTATTATTCATTTTTGACTAGTTTTCTTTCATCTTATTTCTCTTGCTTTTCCAAGTAATAGTCTTAAAGTCTGAATTTCTTAGATGAAGCCTTGCCAATTATTATTCATTTTTGACTAGTATTTCTTTCATCTTATTTCTCTTGCTTTCAAAGTAGTAAATTTCTTAATAAAGCCTTGCCAATTATTATTCATTTTTGAATCTTATTTCTCTTGCTTTTCCACCAAGTAGTAATAGTCTTATTGTCTGAATTTCTTAATGAAGCCTTGCCAATTATTATTCATTTTTGAAGTATTTCTTTCATCTTATTTCTCTTGCTTTCCATCTCAATTTTTTTCATTTTTGACTAGTATTTCTTTCATCTTATTTCTCTTGCTTTTCCACCAAGTAGTAATAGTCTTGGTTTGTCTGAATTTCTTAGATGAAGCTATGCCAATTAAAATATTTTTTTCAAATCTTATTTCTCTTGCTTTTCCACCAAGTAGTAATAGTCTTAAGTTGTCTGAATTTCTTAGATGAAGCCTTGTCAATTATTATTCATTTTTGATAGTATTTCTTTCATCTTATTTCTCTTGCTTTTCCAACCTTAAGTTATCTGAATTTCTTAGATGAAGCCTTGTTATTATTTATTTTTGACTAAGTATTTCTTTCATCTTATTTCTCTTGCTTTTCCACCAAAATAGTCTTAGGTTGTCTGAATTTCTTAGATTAAGCCTTTTAATTATTATTCATTTTGACTAGTAATTTCTCTTGCTTTTCCACCAAGTCTTTTCTTAGATGAAGCCTTGCCAATTATTATTCATTTTTGAGCATTTAATAGTCTTAAGTTGTCTGAATTTCTTAGATGAAGCCTTGGCAATTATTATTCATTTTTTGACTAGTATTTCTTTCATCTTATTTCTCTTGCTTTTCCAAAGTAATAGTCTTAAGTTGTCTGAATTTCTTAGATGAAGCCTTGCAATTATTATTCATTTTTGACTAGTATTTTTTCATTCTTATTTCTCTTGCTTTTCCAAAGTAGTAATAGTCTTAAGTTGTCTGAACTTATAAGATGAAGCATTGGCAATTGTTATTGATTTTTGATTTTTTTTTCATCTTACTTAACTTATTGGAAAGTAATTTTTTCAATCCACAATTCTTACCCAACAGTCAAAAAAACAATGATACAAAATAAATAAATAAATAAATAAATGAAGAGAATAATTCAAAATCAAAAATAAAATAATCATCATTTTTTTATCATCAAAAGCAAATAATGTTTGTCCATGCTTGAAAATATTTTTTTTAAATTATTTCTGTACTCTTAATTTTTCAATATTAATTTTTAAGATAAAGAACCAAGTGTTAAAAATAACTGACTGATTAAGCTAGAATAAGCTTCGTCTGGAATTAAGCATTTTGCTTTTCTAAGCAAAAATTTTCTTCAAAAATTCATTGCTGGTAATATCTTTACAAAGACATATTGCTGTTCATAGTGTGCTGATCCCATTTTCGGGATCAACTATTTGCCTATAGCTGTGACCCTAACAGGGAGTACCACCCCAGGTCAGGGTAGACCTGGG